ATTTGACAAAGGGCAAGTTTCCGGAAAAAATTAATTTTTTCAAACAAATTTGGAGCGTATGTAACACATGCGGTTATTTTTCGAAATTCATTTGGTAAAAAAATAATCAAATTTTGAATTAAATTCCATTTTTTAGGTTTTAAAAATAAGATATCAATTCGTACACATAATAAAAAGTTGATAATCGAACGCATTTAAACCAGAACTCGAAAACAAATCGCACCGAACTTAAATCAGAGATAACTCAATCGCCTTTGGATTTCAGTCAAGATATACATAATAGGTGAATCTTAATAATTAAACGTCGAAATTAAGTTTTCTTGAGCACTTTTACCCTAGTATCAAAATTGTTCAGCAAAAACTACTATTTGGATGTGTTCGAATAATGTCTATGCAACCAATGTCATCAAGAAATGTTTTCTTATTTATAATAACTCAAAAGATAAGACATTCCAGTTAGTTAGACAGAAATGTCGTTAGCAAGAGCAGCAACTTTTTTGCTATCACAGCTTGATGTACACATCTAAATGTCCTATTACCTAGAATATAGACGGCAGTGGCAATAGTCAAAATAATTCCACCGATGAACAAGGCCAAAAATAGCCCTAGGATGAAGGATGTGACCAACGCAACTCTAGATGTTGACGTTTTGGACGATTTCTGGACTTCTTTTTCGCCTGTAGTGTCCCATGCGGAGCGTCCAACTAGTGTAGACATCAGTATGGACAATTAATTCTACTTTGACGTTGTTTTATTTGAAAAGAAATGATCAAAAACAGGGCGAGCACTGATTGAAGAAAAACACAAATATTACTACAGTATTTTTATTCCTTGGCCACACAACACGATTGTTTTTTCAATTATTAATCAAATTTCTAAGATATGAAACACACTCTGTATAGAGCTTGTTTGCTTTTATTTACTGGGACGAATTGTAAAAACAAGGCATCTTATATGAAGAGCAATAATATTGAAGAGTAAACAAAAGACCTTGATCGATAGTCAAGAAAATGTTCATTATATTTACAGATAAATCACTTCTGACAAAAGACGTTAACATACAGGTATTGTCTTCTAAGTATTCTTTGAGAAGAAATTATATATATTAATAAAATCGAAGAGCAATATCTTTCGAATTCTATTCGTCGTATCGATATCACTATGGGTCTAGACTAATGGAACATTTGTTTAACATGTATAAAAAGATCTTCTAGAGTCAATATATGGAGTTGACTAGCTATCTACTTCTATTTAAGTTCGTCAGATAGACTTTTTTTCTTGGGTTAATGAAATTTTGTGTTTTGATTAAGAGAAGAAGGGTATTTGTATGGTTTTTCTGTACAAATAGGGTGCCTGTGTGTTTTACCGTCTTTTATCGTCACTCAACTAGCGCAATCCCTCAGAAGAAAAAGAAAACAGAGAAGTGAAGGTCGTACAATCATCGTCATGATTATAGATGACGTGTAATATAAGAAGAGAAGCCGCAACAACATTTCTGATTCTGCAGGGCGTGAATGTCGATTCAAATCTTTTCTTCAAACGTACACACCCACACCCACATATTTATTGAAGTTCCAGAGATTATGAAATGAGATAGAGACGATCTAATAATCAATAAACGACAATGACCATGAATCCTTGAAGGGTCCTTCCCCTCCCTCAAAATTCGATCTCAGGCTAGGAACGTTCGAGTGGCATTAAACTTTCAGGATATGTTGAGACTGATGAACCATGGCTATGGTAAAATTTTTAGACCTCTTCCGTGACGGTTGACAGAGATACTGGCCAAACAAGGGTCAAAAAATAGCTAATTTCGTCTCCAAAATGTCTCTGTGGTCTTCAGTCTATACATTTAATATTTTCTTTTTGTTTAAAAGAGAATGTCAGCATGCAGTGCCTATGAGAACCCTTTTTTTAATTCTTACTTTTTAAGGGAAAAAAAACGGGATCGAAAGTTCAATGACTCAAAAAACCTCTCCAAAAATAGCGCTCTAATTATATAAAGGTTTGTATATATAATTAAAGTAAAGTTTAATAGAAAAAAAACTGGCTCTCATAGGCACTGTAGTTTTACACGCTCTCTCAAACAAAAAAAAATAACTATCGGCTACAATGAAGCTTTTTCGAGAAATCTTGGAGATGCGATCGAGAGTCTATAAAATGAGAAAAATCGAAAAAGATTTTGTAGTTTTTTTTCAAAAATAGCTTGTTTTTCGAATAGGAGATGAGAGAAACCTTTAAAAAAATGGAAAAAAGGGCATGCCGAGTAAAAATTTTTGTCGTTTATTAAAGATCCGATGACGAGCTATCTTTGCCTACGTTTATCTTAATTTCGTTGATTCTGACGAAAAGTGACTTCTTTGAGGGGGAGACCCTTAAATGAAATTAAGCTTAGATGAGAAGAGTATGGGTATGGGTTGAGTGGGCATGAGTGAAGAGTAGACGAACAACAAGACTCATGCTCGTCAACCAAATCCCAAGTGTGTATGTGGATTGCAGGATCTGAGCTGCGTGGACGTTGGTGTGACTGTGGTTGAATGAAAGCTTTATACCCACACCCACACTCATACCCTGAGTGGCGTATGTGCTAAAGCGAAACATCAAAGATTTTAGTCCTGAACTCTTACGAAATGTTGAATTTTTTCTGAAATTCGTTGAAATCCCTTGAAATATTCGAAATCGTGAAATTCGTTGTCTCTCCTTAGAGTATCTATAGTCATTTCTCACATGATCATAATCTGCTATCATTTATTCAAATTTGCCGAGGTACGGTGAGTGTAAAAATTATATTACAGTAAACCATGAAAAAAACCATCACATTTTATGCTTATGATGGCAACACGAAACAGTTATTAGTCAACAGCACTGATTTACAACATAATCTGAAATATATAAAGATTTTTTGCTCATCAGTAGATCATTTACATGTCATTATCTTGATAGAACGCTATAAAAGAAGATCTAAAGACACTATATTCGACATATTTACGTTTGAAGAACTCAGCTACAACCTATTATCATTTGGTCAACAGCACATAAAAAAAACTGCGAAAAAAATTGAAGATGATTATGGTATACTGAACTTATTAGATCTGGGTGTGGGTGTGGATTCAGACCTTTTCTTCAAACGCACCCATCCACACGTATATATTTATTAATGCATGGCAATCAGTCGCTTGATTTATTGGATGGAACTGACTATAGCTTTGTTAGTAATAAATAGAGAAAATTTATCTCTATCGATCTGTGTTTTTCGTCATTTTTTAAAGAGACATGTAATGACACTACATCATTTATATACACTATTGTAGTGACCTCGTTTACTGTATTTTGTTCTATTAGGTATCAAGTCTTGAAACTTGCACTTAGGCTAGACAAACCAAAACTTGCATAGGATCCTTGTTCTATTTCGGCTCGAAAATTCTGGATATTGACTCAGAAAAAGAGTCTAGATATGTGGCGCCTTCCAACATGTATATTTGATATTGATTCGATGACTTATCCATCTATAGGCACGCATACTAATCAATCTAATTCGAACCAGCATAGTATACAATGTACTCATTGCGGTAGAGATTTTAAAACTATCTTTAGTCGAAAAATTATGTTGAAACCGCGAATGCATATTGACCTATTTTGATTTAGTCCATCATTTACTGAATGCTATAAATTTTACTGACTTTGTTCTTTATTTTCCTTTTCAGATTTATGTCAGTGTGATTATTCAACTGGTGGCTTTTAAAGAACTGATCTCTCGGTATTTTCAAAATTTTTACACTTATTTACATGTAATCGAGTTTATTTTTTTATGAAAAAAGTTGCCGTTGAATTTTCTACAAGAATGCATTAATTATGTTATTTTCACAGTCTCGGAATAGAAAACTGCATGAAATGTTCTAAAAGCTCTATAAAATCCGAAAAATGTTTACGTTTTTTCATATTTATTGCTTTCGTTTAATAGAAATTTAGGACACAGGAAATTTTAATTAGTAATTAGGTTGTGCATGGAAAACTATCTTTTTGCTTTGGTCACCAATAGTTTTCGTCAAATTATGCTGCGCAAGAAACCTCTGATATTTTTCTGATTATGGGAAAAGTCTTCTTTCGTTCTAATTTTTCATGATTTCGAAGAAAAACGAATGATTCTTTATATTTAAATCTGAAAGTTTGATTATATAAGTATTTGTTTATTCTTATGAAAACAAGCAAATTAAATCAAATTCTTTGATTGTTACGACTAACTTTCAAGGTGGAAATCTTTACATCGACATATCTAATTGAATAGAGCTTTACTATGCATAACGAGACAAAAAGTATACTCAATTCTACTAGAAAACTTGATCAGATATATTTTTTCAGAAAATTTCATGCCGTTTTCTATTCCTACATTGTGAAAAAGACACGATGAGTGCATTTTTGTAGAAAATTCAACGGCAAATCTTTTCGTAAAAAAATAAGTCCGATTACATTTAAAGAAGTGGAGAACAATCGAGAGTACTAAAAGGTTAGTTCTCCATCAGCCATCCTTTAGTTTTATTTCACATCATGCTGATGTGCATAATGACAAAGATGAAAATAATAGCTTTGATTGATTTGTGATTATTATGGATTTTAAAAAATAGTAAATCATAGCTTTTCAAGTTTATGTGATATTCTTGTGTTATGGTTTTGTGTGTTCAGTCTTCCTAAATGAATTGGATACAAATTGCTGCTTCCCTTACTCTCTATTTTTTTTATTTAGTATTGATCTATCTTTTAACGCAGTAATAAGATATGCATATTTTTAATTTTTTTTTAATATTACATGAAAACATGACTTTGTACACTATGGTACATTTTATTTTAGATTTTCATGAGAAACACTGATTCTAGAGGTTAATCAAACGAAAACATATTTGACTGAAAAAAATTTACTTTTGAAGGAAATCTTTGCAATATTTAAATTTTCATTCCGTTAATATATTTATTTTATTCTTTCTCAATAATCTTGGGAGAAAAATATGAAACGTATTATTGATGATATTATTAATCAAGTTTCAGCAATGAAATGTTTTCAAGATAAAGTAACTTGTTTACTTGATTTACCAAATGAAAATCTGCTTATGATTTGTCATTATTTATCAATATATGATATAATTCATTGTTTTTATACACCTGAAAGACCAAATTTGTCTCTTCATTATTTGATACATGATTATTATACAAAGATCAATCTTGGTGTAATGGCTTTTCATGAATATAATTATTTGTTAAGTTTATTTTCTCATTCAGATAATCCTCTTCGACTTAACTCATTAATATTACATGATGAAAATGAATTTTATATAGAACAACATTATTTTTTCTTCATGTCTTATAATACAATTCGTTCAGTTTTCAGCAATTTGACATATTTTACTGTAATCAATCGTACTTCAAATGATCTTTGTACTATGATGGATTTTGTTGCGAATTTCTCAAAACTTGAATATCTTTATATTACTCTGGTGAATTTTGGTACAACAATAGATGAGTTCATAATTAAAAGGATTTATTTTTTGTTTTGTTTCACAAGCTGACAATGTTCTTCATAATTTTAATCAAAAAATGTAATGATCAATGAAAAAATAATCTTGATTCTTTTTAAAACGTGATTGCATAGATAGAAGCAATACACTAATTAATGAATTTTTATTGAATGATCGAATGTGTAATTTACGTGAAGTTACTATTGAACCATTGTATGGACTTGCTTTGTATAAATTCATGATACCACAATAAGGTTTTTATCATTGTAATATTGTCTTTCAACGAATTGATGATTTATACGTATGACTAAGTGGACTTGTACCAAACATTGAAGCAAGTATTGTTCGATTGCGTGAATCGCGATTATCAAATAAATATATAATCGATTTTTAACTAAAAAATTTTGAATAGAATTAGAAATCGTTTTCACACCTGAAAATTCATTTTTTTCATTCATTATTTACATCTTAGTTTTTGCCTATTGTAGAGCTCGCATATCATTATTTGCAGAAAAATCTTGAATATTTTTCTTGAACAATATTTCTCTTCATACATATCTGTTAGAATTGTTTTACCTTTCAAATGATAGATACAAATCAGTACTATTTATATCTTACTTTAAAATTTTGGCAATATTCTTAATATCATGAGAGTTCTTTGTTATTTTTAACATGTTCTACTTTCAAATTTATATTTTCCTTCTCGCTAAATATTTTTATGTAATTCAGCTACTGACTTTTATGTTGATCGATTCATTATTTCAGTTATATTATTACTGATGCATTTGAGATTGTGATTTTGTTAGAAGCATTACATTAAACAAGAAATAGATAGGTGAAGAATGTTACATCATCTTTGGATTGTTTATGTTTTAATTTTCTTCTTTAAATCTGAATATCAAGACAAGCATATTGATCAATAACTGTTTTTTTTCAATACTGAGTGCGCATCACCGATCAATGAGTGATTAGAAAAGAGGCTTCTGCAAGCACGATGATAATATCAACGGGTCAAATCTTCATAAATTTTGTTGAAAATTTACTGTTTCATATATAAATTACAAAAGCTTCGATAGTTGGGTGTTTCAAAGAGAAAAGTATCAGATAAACTCATAGTCACATAATCTGTCAGTCACTTTCACTATTTAACTATTATCATCACTTCCATCCTGTAAGCGAGATCAGAGCTAAACATTTGAATTTTTGATATATGTTTCTATTCTTGTCGTCTATATCGAATGAATTATGTTCTATAGGTGAGAAGACAAATAAATCTTAATTTTTATATATCTAAAGCGAAAAACGACTACTGAAACAATCAAGTCTATGATTCTTTCATAAAATATATAAACACTGGAAAAGAATTTCTACTTTTGTGCAGGCTTTTTTCTTAACAACTGTATATTTTTTAAGAAAATAATGAGATGGATTGATTTTCTCTAGTTATCATATCCTTAAGATAAAAAAAGCATGAACTAATCATATTATAACTTACAGAAAAGTTCAATAACAGTATTTATGATATTATTGATCTATATATATGATCCTGCGGCGAGATTTTTTTTCGATTTCATGGTTATGTAGAATAGGTCTATTTAAAGAAAACTGAAAGATAGAAAAATTTTCTCTTCAAAATTTAAGAATAAATATAATCAATTGATTATCTTTGGAAAATAATTATAGTCTTCGAGAGATTTTACATTTCAAGCAATGGATATAAGCATAACGAGACTAAAGAATGCATTTGTATTCTACATCGAAATTACTTTTCTTTTTTTTAAAGACTTATATTTGCTAAGTGCGAGATATTTTCATGATTTATATTTTTTTCAGCCAATTATCATCCTCAACATCAAATCTTGTGTCCTCGATTGATCGATTTTACATTATTAGAAAGTGATACGGAAATAAAATTGAATAATATTGAATCTATACTTAGTTACATGCCTAATCTTCGTAAATTAACACTGAGTATTCGTGATAAACTTGATCCAAGATTTTCTCATGGGCCGATGATGGAATCTATGTTAAGTAAATATGTTCATCAGCTTGATAAATTTGATTATACCATGACACATCGAATTAATGATGAACCACCAATTGAAGCTTTTATTCGATGGATAATGAAAATTGTATGTTATGAATATCAAACTTATAAATGGATACATATATATTCACTTCCATGGCCATCAAATCGACAAGACAAAAGAGAATTACTCATAATCAATGGCAAATATGATATATCGGTTACATCAGATGTTAAATATATTCAATATATCAAACATCTTGATGTTAAAACACATGAATAAATATTAGAAATTAATGAAAAATTTAGTCGAGTTCAAAAAATTACAACTCGTTTATCAATAAATATAAAATTACTACCACGACTTTCGAAATTAATTCTCAATGTCGATGCATGTAAATATTTTTTTCTCTAAACTCCTATTAAGAAAATCTCGTCTATTTTTAATTTTAACTGTTAGTACAATGAATTCTATTCCACAAGAAAATATTTGTCATTTAGATGTTGAACGTCGTTTAAGAGATGAAAATGAAATTAATACAGTTGCTCATCAATCTCCGCGTGTAAAATATTGAAAGTTATTATTTCCCTGTGGAAAATCATCATGTCTTCGTTGCCTTCAAACTCTCTTCCGTTTTGCTAATAAAACTGAAAAACTTTGTTTTTGGCCTGAAATGATTTATTTTTGTACACTGGTTAACTGCGAACAACTATTCTCAATTTCAAATAGTCAAGAACTTAAGTACTGACTTATTTCAAATACTGATCTAAAATTTCGATCAAAAAACTTTTCCTCTTGTCTGTCAAGTCCAATTATGTATGTTTGGCTTTCATGTTTTGTCTTAATAAAATAGTTGTCAATGGTCTTTACAGATTATTTTCAGGCTGCCTTCTCTTCCCTCCGAAGAAAAACCGACTTTTTGAAACAAAGAACAGATAGTTTTTGATACAAACATTCAGACATGGCTTCTAAGATGTCTCGTTTGAAAATTCATAAGAATAACTTCGAATTTAAAAAGGTTTCTTTAGAGAATGATGATAAGTTTTTCGAGCATTGCAGCTAAAAGACCAATATAATTTTCAAAGGAAAATTAAAAGCGCTATTGAAGCTACCACTCATTATCACAGCCAAATATCCAATTAAAGGGTTATTTGACTAGACTCCGAATAAATTTCTGCATGTTATGTACTATAATCATATTTGTTGCTGATATAACAAAGTTCTTCGATTAATTCTTAATAAAAATATTCGTACATTTTCTTCGATATTGGTCTTTACATAAATTGTCACATGTGGATTAAACTCTTTTCCAATAGTGTTTGTTCTGATACACATTTTCAAAGTAATCACGATTTTTTTGTACAAAACCTTTCTTAAGGTTTTCAGAGTTTTCATATTTTGACAGGAACATAAGTAAAAATACTAGAGACTTTTCTCTCATCTGGATGTCGGTGTTAATGTTATTTTCACATAGTCGCACAGCAGTCCTCCTTTTCCTTCTGATTTTTTCGTTTATGCTTTATAATATTTAGAAAATGAATGAAGAAATTTTTAAATGAAATTACACTGGTAAATTGTGTAAAAAGCACATATCTCTTATCTAACGCTGATGCTTGTGATTACAATCATGTTAAATACATCCGTAATCTATTTAATTGAATCAAATGTACACACGAATTGATCAATCAATTTAAGTAACTATTTAACATGAAGCAATCTGCCAGAACACTTACTAACAAGCTTTGAAGAATTGCTGATATTGACATTTATGACTGTGTTATTTTGTATTCCAATCTCGGAGGTAGTAATATGATTATATTTATTTTATATCAGGTGTTAACACTATTACATGATCTAAGAGAGAAGTTATAGATTTGATTCTTATATAGTGTCGTCAAGCCAAGATCTCCATCTTTGATAAAAATCTTATCGGCTTACAATTAAGAGAAAAAATTTATTTCTAATACAATCGATCAACTAGATACTGTGTATCTTTTTTTTAAAATGCTCATAGTTCAACTCAATTGTCATTCATTTTATATGTATGACTAGAAGAAATGTATCTGATCTGTGTTATTTGTTTATTTAGTCAAAAAATAATCAAAAAGAACTTGGTTTACGAAGACTATCCAAATACGCCATAGCAATTTTATCCATAATCGACACCTGCATCTTTCTGCAACTAAAGCCAAGAGAATCGCCGTCACCATGTTGAACATCTTGATCACACGGCTGTACCTTCACTACATGTTTTGATGCTGTTAAGCCATATGATCCTAGTACCACAATTTTTTCGATCGGTACTGATCGACGTACTTTCCACCATTATGTGTTCCTCATGTATACAACCATATGTTGAACATTACCGTGAAACTGGGTGTGGGTGTGGATGTGTGTGCTGATCTCATCTCATCCACACCCCTACTCACATTACACTCACACCCTATTATGTACTGTAATGTACTGTAATGTACTATCATGTACTCGGTCAAAAAAACTAGAATTTGAGATTTTTCACTCATGTAAAGTGGGGGTTAGTGCTACTATCCGTGCTGGGTTAGTGCGACTCTTCTCTGAAAGCACACCCATACCCACACCCTGCATGTTCGTTCGAGATCTGGATGTTGGTAAAAGTGTTCGACTGACCCTCATTGACAGAGAACAACACCCACAAGCATATTCACACCTTCATCGCATGTTTGTATAACTGATCTGAGACTCGAAATTGGATAGAATTATAGGATTCGAATTAAACCTATTCAATTACCGATTGATTATGAACAAAAGCTGAAAATGTTCACGTAGTTAATGAGAAATATTAGAGAAAATGGAGCGATTGCATATTGAAAAATTAGAATAGGATGTCTTAATTATTGCGATTTGATTGGCAAACTTTTGTAGATCGAATTCGTTTAGAAGTAGTCACCCAACCACCAAATGGCTTTTCCAGAATAGAAAGCAGCCTTGACATCTTGAAAAGTTTCTTCTGGAAGTCGAAGGTTACGAAACATTGTGTTTGGATTTCTCTCGACATCTACCGCACCAGCCCAATCTCTCAATCCGTCCAAACTTATATATTGTGGAACACCCTGTAAGCGTATTACTTTTGTCTGTGGATGTCGTCGTCGAATCTCGATAGCTGCCAATTTTAATAATTTCTTCTCGACGTCGATGTTCGCTGCTCGCCATTCAGATATGCACACATCAGCCTGATGGTTCGGTTTTTTAATCACCACATAGCCTTGTTCATCATCATCTAGTACACATATAATGGCTTCATCGTTACGCCAATAAAAGCCAGTCCAGTGCTGAAACATAGCCAATGGTGCACGATCGAACTGATATGCACGTGGATTGTTGGAGTATATTTTCAATAGTAGTTGACCATCTGATAGTAGCACATCAGATGCTGGCCACCATTCAATATTGTGACTGTCATGATTCAAGTCTTCCCAGTGTATATTGACTGGACAAGGAACAGTTACTTGTTCCCATCCGAGGACAGAGTAGTGATTATGCCGTGGAGTGTCTAAACATGACATGTCGAACTCAGCACCGTTTTCCATCTTATGTAGAGCGAGACGAAGAAGATTCCGTGAGTAACCTCGCATCCGGTACTCCGGTAAAGTTGCTACATTTGAAATGGCAGCACACAGATACTCTTGATTATCATCTTTCAATCGAAATATGAGCCGCCGAATATGCACGGCACTGACTAGCTTACCGTCATGCCATGCACCTAATGTATCATTTATCTGGTATCGTGGTGATGCTTCTGAAGCTAAATAACGTTCGAAAAATCCTGGTGGTGCGGTTTTGAACACAGTATACCACAAGTCGAATGCTTGCTGGTATTCATGTCTTTCGATAGGACGATAGACAGTTGGTGATGCATCATTGTTAACCGTGCTTGCCATGTAGTCTTATCACGAAACTATGTAGTAGAAATGAGAGAGAAGAAAAGAATATGAAACAAACAGATAACAGAAGGATGAAAAAGGAGCCCGCTGTAGATAAAAGCCTGATATTCTTCACTGTAATAGCAAGTTGACTTGTGTCTCTAATTCGAAGTATTTTCGTATATGTGTCTTGATCATGCGTAATTGAAAAATATTTACATTTAGATAAATCATTCTTGAATTTAGTGGCAATTTTTCCATTAGAATTTCTGATTTGGGTGTAGGTGTGTGGTGCATTGATGCAGGTGCGAGTGTTGTCGTGATGTGATTGTGAATATATGAGTGGATGTGGATGGATCTGGCTGTAAGTGTTAGTATGGTTGATTAGGAGGAGTGGGCACATCCACCGTGACTCTCCGGCATCCATATTACATACCCAAACTCACACCCTAATAACGCATGCACATCATTGGTTCGTCCATCGACGAGCAATATCTTCCTATAAGACTATGTTGATGCGGTCTCGCATTCGTTGTAATTCTATTAACCTTAGCTCTGTTTCAAGTGAAAGATAAAGCCTTTGCCATTATAATTAATTGTACGAATATATCTGCTTTTCAGTGGAAGCGACAAATATTCTCAACAGAACTAGAAGCAAATTATTCTTCATCAAATTCTGATTTGTAACACGTTTGTATCTGTTTCATTTACTTGTATTTTCCAACTCTTGTAATACAATCCATAACATCGATATCGACAATATAGTGTTCTCTGACAAAGAAAACAGTAGAAGATATGTAACGGAAAGAATTTATTTATATACATACATTACAAAACTTGCCAAAATGGCAATAGAACTGAGTCAAAGTTCGATGATTGATCAATTATTGGTTTCTGTTATAATCTTTCGATTTCGTTCGTCATAATTGTAATTCGGCAAGCGCATCCTTCATTGGTCAGATAGATTCGATATCTTTTCGCACGAAACGGATTAATTTTGACGAATGGTCTAGGGGTGCCGGCTTAGCATTAGCATTGCATTAATTAATGCTAATTTTAATACTTTTGTATTAGAATTAAAAAATTAATTTAATGCTCTGGTATTAGGGTTAAAAAAATAATTTAATACTTTGGCATTAGCATTAAATTAAAATTAGTATTAAATTAGTATTGCTTAATGCTGATACCTAAGAAAAAAGTATTAACTAATGCTAATTTAATACTAATTTTAATTCAATGCTAATGCCAAAGTATTAAATTATTTTTTCAACCCTAATACCAGAGCATTAAGTTAATTTTTTAATTTTAATACAAAGTATTAGCATTTTCCTAATACTAATGCTAAGCCGGCACCCCTACGAATGGTTCTAGTCAAAATTCCTTTGTAAGTCAGGTGCATCGATTGAGATGTGAGTTCAGCTGATGAAAATTTTTGACTTTGAGAAACTAATAGAATTCGGAGCAGTATTGAAGATCTCTTCTGACTTGCTTATCAAACGAAATTTTTTTGTAACTTTTCACTATTTTCGAATTTGCTTCACTAAATTTTGCATAGTTTCGTACAAGGGACATTCCTCTGTGTTCATCATTAATGCTTTCTTTTATTTCAAAAAGATTGATTAATAGGCATCTTTAAAAGCGCTGATCAATAAAATAGAAGTGATAGTTATTCTACCACGCTCAATGATAGACGATTACATGAGATGGTGTAGTTTCCAATTGATATATTCTGTTGTATGTAATCTTCGATGGCCATACTTTTGTAACCATAGAAGTTGTTGTCGAACATTGATTTTATCATGCCAACGATTTTGACTTAAACCGTGCCCTTCATTGGAAAACATTAGCAATTGTAACAGGAACTTCGAGATAATACAGACCTCGTTCTAACATATAACTTTGATCTGGATCAACTCTTACATCTGATTGATCAGTGACAATAAGAATCGGCGCTCTTACTTTGTCTAAATAGTAGATGGCTGATTCCTTTTGATAAATCTTTGATATTTCTCATGGATATTCTGGAAAAAGATACTTAAAAGCGAAAGTTGAACGAAATCAACAAACGTACAAAGCTGTTGCGCAATAATAAAAACAAGGGATCTAAGCAAATAAAAATGTAATGTTACTCAAGACTCACACCTTACAATTTTCGATATTATCAAGAGAGAAGGTGTGAGGTAGATTAGGATAATGGAAATGTGAAGATTCTGACAACGAATTAACACTCACAACCACATGCAGTGATCATGATTAACAAAAACATTCATTTTGACAAACGAAGGAAACAATCATACCACAATGACAGCATAATATCGCCTGCAATCAAAATAAAGTATGCTACATAGTAAATACCTGCCTTACTTTACTGCCATCGATTTGAAAAAAAAGTGACCTCTGTTGATGTATTCGCTCTGAACAAATCGTTCAACTATTAGGTTGGCAAGAAATTTTTGTCGTTTTTTTCTGAAAATTTTCTTTTTATTTTTTAATATCAAGAATACAACTAGCTTTCAACAATGTATGCGCCATTGTTATCTATGACTTGTCACCAACGCTCTGGTAGAGAAAGGATCCCGCGTTCATAAAAGTCCTGTGACTTTTGGCCAGAGAAGTTGAAGAGATACATTTCCAAGTCGTTTTCGTCATCGAACTTTTTCTCCTTCAAATGATTAGAAAGAGAACGGAACAAATGGTGGTCCGTAGGAGCCAAGTCTGAAGAATAAGATGGATGTGGAACCATAACCCATCCGAGCTCCAATAATTTCTCACGCGTTGATTTTGCAATATGGGGTCTGGCATTGTCATGCAAAAAATAAATTCTATCCTGCTTTCCCTAAAGTTTTGCTGCAACCCGGTCTAATTGCTGGCAGTAGAGATCAGCAGTGATGGTGCAATTAGTTGGAAGAAGGTCCCAATGAATAATCCCTCTTACTCCCCACCAAACACTCAGCATAATCTTCAATTGGTTAAGGTCATCTTTGGGTGTTGCTACACCTTTTTGTCCAGCTCCTAGCCACTGTCGCTTGCGCGTGTGGTTAACATACAACACCCACTTTTCATCACCAGTAATAAGATTGTAAAGCCATTGGTAGTTGCGATGAGATGTCATTAATTCCGTACAAGCATCAACTCTATGTTGGAGCTGATATGGTGATAAATCATATGGTATCCAAACTCCATATTTCCACATTTTGCCTAATTCGTGCAGATGTGTTTCCACTGTAGTATGAGAGCACCTAAGACGCTCTGCTAAACACGGCGTAGTCAATCTAGGATCGTCTTCGATAAGCTCCTTTAGGAGATCCATATTCACCTCTAGTGGTCTTCCAGTATGAGATAAATCATCGAGTTCGAAGTTGCCGTTCTTGAACTGATCGAACCAACGTTGCACTGTACGAATAGAGAACACATCCTTGCCGATCGCATGGCATATGTTGCTTCTGTTGTTTTGTGACCCAGACGGAATTCATGAAGCAGAAGCACTCGGAGCTCTTTACGAGATATCTTTATTTCTAATTCTAGATCAGCATGCATATCCATAGTTTTATTGTTGTTCGAAAGATATTCACACTCTCTTTATATACCCTTACTATAAAAACTTCTAGAACCTTCTTGACTGCTCTAGGAAGTTACGAAGAAAAAACGACAAAAATTTCTTGCCAACCCAATACTTCTCTCACATCTATCAATACTGAGAAGAACATAAAGTGAAGCATCTAACGTCATTCATTGACTAAAATTAATAAAGTACTAGCACTTGTACTATGGAAATAATATTTCAAGGCGGATATGATCGAGGACTATCACAGGTTTAGTTGATATACTTGTTTCAAGTACTTGGGCAAGTATTTCCACAGGTAATGTCTTCAATATGCACGATTTTCCAGCAAGTAACCAAGTACTTGGAACAATTACATGGATTAAGGAGACTGCTTATTAGGCATCAGCTAGATTGATTAAAACTCTTTTATCAAGTGAACGCTTTATTATGTCCGACACGATCTGTATTCAATAGTTTTAATGCTATATCTGATTAAGATTGGCAGTCATACAACTCTGCCTATAATCGATGATATCTTAGGTGTTAATTTTACGCAAGTTGAACTTAAAAAGTCCACTAACGATTTGCCGATTGAGCGAGCTGATTGATACTAGCGACATCGTCTTCTGGACTCGTCATTTGATTGAAAGAGTGAACGTTCATATCACCACCATGCGTGTTGCGAGGAATTATCAAAGGTTGTTTAATAGTTCCAACTGTCTTGGTAGTTTCATGTTCTGACTTATCGTTGGGAAATGGTGGTGAACACATGATTTGCGTTGCTGCTAATGATGTAATGCAGTATGCCAAAAAGCAATAGAATCCAGCCAGTAGTTGTGCTTCAATTTCTGATATGACTATAGAAGAAAAGTAGGACAAAAATATCGACATTACAAACACATCAGCCATGCTCCATTTGCCCCAATCACGAATAATTGTAAAAATCTTGTAGTTGTATTTGGGATTTTGTATAAAACTACAATAGATAATTTATTATCAATTTTTCCGGTTCTTCGATATGAGTCTTATGTCAATGAACAGTGCACGATAAGGAGTGCAGTATTTTCAAAAGTATATGATTGAACTTCATAAAGCTTGATCTAGCAAAACGCTGATAGTTTACGGTATTCAAGTGGTGAGCAGCATTGGAGACTTTCCTTTTTTCTAGAGAAAAATATTCGCAAAGAGAAAAACAGAACTTACTTCATCAGCAGCAATAAAATTGCTTTGAGAACTGGAATAACAACCGAAAATATGACTATCAAAATACCAGGTAGATAGCCTTTATTTTCGAACAGGTAGGATATGGTTGACAAAGTACTTCGTCTTTGAGTTGCCACTAGAACTTTTGTGGTGGGTGGACCGACATAGATACGTACATCAATCATCGGATACCACAGGCCAGGAATAAGAAGGATTAAACTGATGATAGTAAGACTATGAGAAATCCAGTTGCGAATGCGCTCTGTTGTCC